AAGCGTAACGCGTGTATTGTTTTACACATCGAACGCGTCGTTTATCTATCGGTGCAACAATGGGGACACTCTCGACCAAGCTTATTGTAGGTAATCGTTGCGCGCGTAATCTCGGCGAAAGAAAATCTGCATTTTATTTCTCTCTTTCTGTCTATCCTTTCGTTTTTTTTTTTTTTTTTTAAGCCCTACAACGCGCCGGTGGGAACTACCGGCCGAGAGACTCAATTGGGGATTCTCTCCTTCGGAGATTTGACGTGCGCAGCAGCGGGCGCGTCCGACAAATTGAGGACAGAGCCGTGCACTGCTGTGCAGCCCGTGCTATATACTATATACGCAGCGACAGCTCTAGCAGCTCTCTCTCGATCGGTCGATATCCGTGTGTATACACGAGAACGGTCGAATACATATAGGCTGTTATAGAAACAGTCAATATACAGTCGCGATGCAGTTTGCATTATAGGACGCGCAGCGCAGAACAGCGAGAGCAACGAGAAAAAAAAGAGAGAGAGAGAGAAAAAAATAGACCATGGCGAGTGAAATTGAAAGCTCGACAGGCAGCAGCAGCGGCAGCAAGAGGGTACAGTAAGGGATAAAGGCTGAGCGATGGCTGCGCGTATCTTGCCAGCGGAGCTCACTCTGCAGCTGAGTGTGATCGATTTTATTAGCGCCGCGAAATAAAATCGAGTCGCCTCCTTTTGCCTTGTATACATAATAATGTACTTTTACTCGAGCGATCGACTTTGCGACGCGATAAATATCCCTTGCAAGGGAGGAAAAAAAGTAAATAAAATTGGTTGGCTATTTTTGGGCCAATTTAAAAAAGAGTTTTTTTCCGACTTGAATGATGGGAAACGCGTCGTCCGTGCGACTGTGTTTATAACACTGAAACTGGAATAATCCACGTGTCTGAGGCGTGTCCGAGACACCGAGGGAGAAAAAAAGGCCGGAAAGGGTCGTAAAGAAGCAAAGCTCGCGCCGACTAATACACCGCACACGAGGATGAAAAAAAAGAGAGAAAAGGAAAGGGAGTAAAAGCGCAGCTCTCCCGTTGGCTCACTCGGTCGGGGAGAAATTTTTACGAAGTCGAGAGTTAGATACGCTCGAGGAGAAAAAAGAGCTAAGTAGGGAAGATTTCAGCGTTATGACATTTGACGATCGGATTAGAGATTCTCTGCTCTTAGTCATTTCGTCCGCAGTGCCCCTAGTATACAAGGGGGACATTTTTAACGCTTACTTCCGATTCTCATCGCAAAGACGGTTTTTGCTTTTTATATAATGTATATATAATATAAAACTCGAGTCACCTGCAAAAAATCAAGCCGGTCCTTCATTAATTTTCCAAAAGACCGGCTTTAGCTTTTGCGAGAAAATATTTTTCGGATGCGAATTATACGCGACCAAAAATGCAAACGCGCGCGAGAGCACGGATTTTCAAATGGAAAAAACGTTTCTACAATCTTTCCAATTAAAATCTCTCGCTTCGCGCGTTTGTTTTTTTTTTGTTTTTGTTTTTGTTTTCGTTTTTATTTATACGAATGTATATAAGCTAGGCGCTCGAAATCTGCGAATGCAAATTTTTAATTCGACGAAACTAGGTGAACATCGACGTCTCTGTGCATTCGATATCCTAATAAAATTATAGACCGGAAGGATCTTTTATTTTTCCCGATTGATCCTCCAACTTTTAACTTCTCTCGTTCGACGCGCCTGAAATAGTTTCGTTTCAATGGGGGGAGGGTAAAGTAAAAAATATTTTATAATATTCTCCCGACAGCTCAGCTGCTGCAGCGAGAGATCTAGGCTAGGTGGGTTATAATACATATATACGTCTGCTGCTACTTGCTGTGCAGCCCCAAAGACTCCGGCTCCGCTCCGGTATATATATACGTGCCTGAGAGCAATTATCGGAAGCGATGATTGCGGAAGCCACACTGCGACCCTCGACTAATGGAGATAGACGCGCGAGCACTGCTACTGCCTGCCTGCCTGCCTGCCTGGCGGCAACCTGCAACGGCGTATACATAAGGCTTGAACTGCTGCTGCTGCTTCTGCTTCTGTTATATAGCAGATATATATATAGCATTAATGTACACTTATATATTTGTGTTCGAGCGAATCTCGGGCAAGTATTACGAGTTGCTCCGTTCCGCGCGTATTCACGGATATGGTTACGTTGCGAGCTATTTCCCTATATTGCTCTCTTGAAATCGGTTAATGAAATTTACACATGATTCGTAGTATTTGGTGTACGTATCCATTGAATTACGAATTTTGACGAAGTGCAATTGGTTTGTATCAATTAAATAATAATATCTCAATTTTTCTGTAATAATATATCGGTAATCAAAAAATGTTTACCATTCATTAGACACGAGATACATAATATACATGTTATTTTCACTGTGATATGATCATAATGACTTGGTTTTACATACCTGCACTGTGCACACAGGGCAATACACTACAACTGTCAGTAGAGGTGTATGGTATGCAAATCACAACATGGCGTGAAGGTAGCAAATTTTTGAACAAATATAAAAATTGTTTATTATACACGCGTAGAAGAATCTATTTACTCTTTTTTTCTGTGTGATTCGATGTTGTCTGTCGGGAGAATATTGGGATTACCATTTAGATGGCCAAGAAAATTTCTCAAAGGAATCATTACCAAGTTATAACTTTAAATTGTAATTTTAAAAAATATTACCAAGAAAATGTATGAACAGAAAAATCGGTGTCTAAGTTGTAAACAATATAAAAATCAACGATTTTAACATAGTCATTCGACACTTTGATCATGTTTATAGTAAAATCAAATTAGTTTGAATGTTGACTTCCCCCATGAAACAAGCCATTATAAATAAAGGTAAATTTTATATTCATTTAATTTTCTTAACACTAAATACAAAGATACATCGTTTAATTCAGGTACCAAAATGGATAAAAATGGCAAGAAACTCGAAGATATTATCTCGGAAAATAATTTAAGTGAACATGACGTTGTTGTTTCAGACGACAAAAAATATATTTGTGATATTTGTCAGGAAGTATTTATACTAGAATTAAACATGATAACACACCGAGCCACAATTCACAACGAAAAAAAAGGTTACTCATGTGACAAGTGCGAAGCAACATTTGAGTTTCGAAGTCATTTGAGTAGACACCAAATATCAGTACACAAAGACCGCAAAGATTTTTCATGCGACCAGTGTGAGAAAAGATTCGTGAAAAAATCAAGTTTGATTACGCACCAAAAATTATTACACAAATATCGTGAAGATTTCACATGCAGCAAGTGCGAAAGGAAATTTGAAAATAAATCAACCTTACTCAAGCACAAAAAAATATTCCATGAAGTTTTCAAAAATTATTTATGTGATGTGTGTGCGAAAAGATTTAGTACTAAACGCAGTTTGCTCTTGCACATAAAAACAGTCCACGAAGGTCGAAAAAAATTCGGCTACAAAGTTCAAAAAGAATATCTATGTGACAATTGCGGAGAAAAATTTGTAAATAAACGGAATTTGCTTATGCACATAACATTAGTCCATGATGGTCGCAAGGATTACGCATGTGGTAAGTGTGAAAAGAAATTTGGAAATCAAAGCAATTTGAGAAAACATCAAATAACAGTCCATGAAAGTCGCAAAAGTTTCGCATGCGACAAGTGCGAGCAGAAATTTGGTAAAAAAATGAATTTGATCAGGCACTTAAATACAGTCCACGAGGGTTACAAAGATTACGAGTGCAACAGGTGCAATAAGAAATTCGGACAAAAATCTCATTTGCTCTGTCATCAAAAAATAATACACGAAGGTCGCAAAGATTACGCATGCGACAAGTGCGAAACAAAATTTGGACAAAAAATAACATTGCTCATACATCAAAAGACGGTTCATGAGGGTCGCAAAGATTACATATGCGACAAGTGCGAAAAGAAATTTGGTAGTAAATCAGTTTTATTGAGGCACCAAAAAACAGTTCACGAAGGTCGCAAAAATTACGCATGCGACAAGTGCGAGAAGAAATTTGGAGAAAAATCGAAATTGATTAGACACCAAAAGGCAATCCATGAAGGTCGTAAAGATTATGCATGCAACCAATGCGAGAAGAAATTTGGGATTGAACAGAGTTTGAACATGCACGTAACAATAGTACATGAGGGGCGCAATAATTACCCATGCGACAAGTGCGAGAAAAAATTTGGATACAAAAAAACTTTGCTTATTCACCAAAAAACTGTCCATGAAGGTCGGAGAGATTTCGCATGCGACAGATGCGAGCGGACATTCGGACATAAACATCATTTGCTCTACCATAAAAAAACATTACACGAGGGTCAAAAAGATTATGCATGCGACAATTGCGAAAAAAAATTTGGTCTGAAACATAATTTACTCGCGCACATAAAAATAATCCATGAGGATCGCCAAGATTTCGCATGCAACAAAATTTGAAGCAAAATCGAGAATGATTAGTCATCGAAATATAGTCCATGAAGGTCGCCAAGATAACAGATATGACGAATGCGAAAAGAAGTTTGGATGAAAATTTAATTTGATCAGACACCAAACGATTGTCCATGAAGGTAGCAAAGATTATGCATGACACAATTTCGAGAAGTAATGATGATTGACAACTGCAAATATGTAGATACTTATATGTTTTTCTAAAATTTCAATAAAAATTTACGTTACACCTCTGTTCCTTTACTTTTCTGTCGTCGTGGTGTTCAATTTTTTAATCAGATTTTTTACATTTTTCCAAAATTAGTGAAACCCCTCCACTATATTTGTAAACGCTTTTTTTTTCTTAGTGCTTTTATGAATTTAAAATATTATATAATGCTTTTTAGTTTGCGCGAGGGCGACACATTTTCTGATTCGCTACTGGCGATTGCCGAGCAATACAACGCACGGAGAGGTTATGCACGTCACACGCGACGTAAACAATAGAACGAGTCCTCAGGTCGATCAGTGCTATACGACAGTTTTTTCCCGTAGTCGACTCACTTATCCCATCACAAATTTATAATCGTTGAAGAAAACTCCAAACGCTAAACATGGAATCCAGCGATATTCTTAATTGTGCTGTCAGGTAATTTCATTTTTAAAAATGAAATTGTAATAATGCATAACATAATACTTGATCTGATTGAGGTTATTTCAGAGTGAAAGAGGAACCTTCTGAAATGTCACTTATTGATAATAATAATGAAATGACTGACGAGAAACCTGATATTAAAAACTTTCCACTCTCACCATTTCAGCAAGAAAATTCAGTAAGTGTTAATAACTATACGTAACTTCCATTATGTGTATTTTTTGAATGAAAATTGTTACATAACCTTTAATTTTTCAACAGACTCATGGGCTTCGAAAATGTGACAAAAATTATAAAAGTGAACTTGACGACGGAGTGGAAATAGTTGTTGAATGTGAAGACGTCAAACCCAACTTCGATTTATTGGCAGTTGAAAAAATTGACGTTTATTATCCAGATCGCTTGCGTAATGTACAAGATAATGGTTATAAAATTGAGAACAAAATTGAAATAGAAGCCGTGAGTGAAGTGAAGCAGGAATTGCTTGGTGAAGCTACTGAAGGATCCAATTTGAATTTTAGCTGTGAATACGCCGAACAAAATAAAAAGACGAAAATTATTAATAAGTTCAAAAATGAAAATAGACTCCAAACACACTTCGCTACTGAGCCGAACGATAAAACCCGAAATTTATTGTCAGATAAGAGTAGATTGGATCGTCCTGCCAAATCATTTCATTCCACTGTTGATTCGGTACGTAATGGTACTAAACCTATTTGTAATATTTGTGGAAAGACATTCTCGACCAAAGGAAATCTCAACATCCACATCAATTCGATGCATAATGCCGTCACATTTACATGTGATATTTGCGGCAAGAAATTCTCAACGAAAGGTGGTCTTGGAATCCACATTGATTCAATACATAACGGTATCACATCTGCATGTGATATTTGTGGAAAGAAATTCTCAACGAAAAGTAATCTCATAGTCCACATCAATGCGATGCATAATGGTAATAAACATACATGTGACATTTGCGGAAAGAAAATAACAACCAAATCTAATCTCAGAGCCCACATCAATGCGATGCATAATGGCATTACTCATGCATGTGATATTTGCGGAAAGAACTTCTCAAATAGAGGTAATCTCAATAAACACATCGATTCGGTACATAATGGTATCACATATACATGTGATATTTGCGGAAAAAGATCCTCGACGAAAAGTAATCTCATAGTCCACATCGATGCGATGCACAATGGTGTTACACTTACATGTGATATTTGTGGAAAGACATTCGCACAGAAGGGTTATCTAAAAATCCACATCGAATCGGTACATAACGGTTTCGCATCTACATGTGATATTTGTGGAAAGACATTTTCATCAAAGATTTATCTCAAAAAGCACATTGTTGCGGCGCATAATGATACTAAACATACATGTCATAAATGTGGAAAGACACTTTCGTCAAAAAATTATCTCAAAACCCACATTGAAACGATACACAATGGTCTCATGTTATAAGGGCGGAAAGTCATTTTCACTAAAGTCTCATTTGAGGGCCCACATCAAGGCGATACATAATGATATTACTCGGACATGAGGTACATGTGACGATTGTATGCATTTTTCAACGTTCGGAAGATTAATTAAAAAATTTAATTTATATGTAATAATAATAATATCATGAGTTTTTTTAATGTTATACCATTATGTAAAAATAATATTAAAGCTTTTGAACAATCAACAAATTTTTAAAGAAATAATAGTACATTATTAATTGAAATCGTAAAGCTAATAAAAATCGAACCCCTCAAATCGCTATATCCATTCTGTAATTACTTACTTATCATAAACAAATCAACTTTTCAAAAAAGAAATTGTACACCCATGCCTGATCGACTCCTGAATTGAATCATCCCCGCGCCACGAAGCTTCAAGTTTACAATGCGTATACAAAGCCAAGACCGTTGATGCGGCGCAACACCATCGATCATCCCTCGTATAGCCCTCCCGGCTCGGCACGATTTGCTTTTAATCACCTTTTGTGCGCGTACATGTATATTCACTGCTCACGCATGTATACGCGCACGGCGTGTTTAGCCCATTCGCGAGATCCGTCCAATATGTCTATACGTATTTATATACGCAGGCATAGAGATCCGAAATGATTTTCACCCCGTGTCCATTTTCCACCGAAACGACGTATACATATGTAATGCCGGATCGATCATCGAGGTGCAACAGCAATGTATATATAATATATAATAATGTGTGTACATAAACAATTGAAATCGACGCATCTACATATAGACCAGTTTATTAACTAGATTGTTGATATCGTTGTATCGAATAATTATTTGCTTTATATGCGCGGAGCACGCTGATTGTTTGTCAAACACGATACGCGACTGTTTGCATCAACTTATATACAATGGCGACGGAAGTGGCGAGCACAGTACGTTGATTATTCGGGGTGTAATTTTTCTCTCTCTCTCTCTCTCTCTCCATCTCTGCCCCTCTCGACGTGTTACGTGCACTCAGACGGGTCGATGATTATTACGAGTTGTGTTTCTGGCTGCTCGCTCACGGCAACGGCAGCAGCAGCAGCGGCATTAATTGACAAAGTTTAATTAGATCTCGAGAAAATTAGATATTGAAGTTTCATAAAGACTTCTCGAATTAATGCTCGACCCGCCGAGGTGGAGGAAGAGGATCGAAGAAATCCCGTAAGCGTTTTACTGCTCTTGTTTTTTATCGTTGCCCGCTGTAACATTATTTGACGAAGCCCAAGAGAGAGATGGACTGCGAGAAACGATGATTTGGAAAATTTTGCTCAGCTCGCTTGATATACTCTCGACTGGCAAAAAATTCAAATGACAAGCACACACAGAGTAGTAGTTGGTGGCCACTTGGAAGCAACGAGTGCTCTACATAACGGGCTTGAGAATTTTACGCATGTGTAATGACGCGCGAAATAATGTATTCGTTGTGGCCCGAGGCTTATCGCGTAAAGAAAAAAGAAGAGAGAGAGAAGAAAGAAGGAAAGAAAGAAATAATAGAGCGAAAAATAAACGTAAAGAAAAACTTTTTCCACGCGCGAGTTTACGACGGAAGAGAGAAGGACGCTTCTCTTTCTTTGAATTCGCGCAATTTTTCCCGCGCGCGCGCAACGACCCGCTCTCGTCGCTCTCTCTACCTTTGGCCGGGGGAGTAAATAAAATATTTCTTATCGCGACTAATTACGGTCGACGAGTCGGACGGAAAGAGGGTAAGAAGAAGAAGAAAAAAAATAACGATAATATGTAAAAAAAGTGCGAGAGAGAGAGAGAGAGAAATTCGAGAGAAGAGCAAAGACGCGCGTACGCTGGACGAGAGAAAGTCTTGGACGAGAGAAAAAAAATGACTGAACGAGGCTTGCCAAGTTTTTGAATAGCCCTCGAGTCTCTCTTCTAACTCCTTCTCTCTCTATATATATTTGGACGAAAAATAGTCGTAGTGGCGCGGGCGAGATGTGACCTATAGGAGGAGCAGAGAGAGAGAGAGAGAAAAGAAAAAAGCCGTGGAAACAGAAGAAGACGAAGAAGAAGACGGAGAGAAAGGAGAAGAGGCACGCGAACGTATATATGACGAAAAAAACGGAGTGCGAGAAAAGAAAAAGTTTCTTTCCGTATAAATTCAAAAGAAAAATAATTCTCTCACGGCTATATTCTCTGTCAACAGACTCTCGCGCGCACGGAAAGTTGCACTTTTTCAACCTCTATCCTCTATCTCTCTCTCTCTCTTCCCTCAGACCTTACAACTAGCCTTTGCCACTGCGTACTACTGGCTTGGGTTGGGGGTTTCTTCTTTCGTGCTTTTTTCCACGCAGGCCCCCGTTCTCTTCCTTTTATTATTTCAAATACTTGACAACAACAGAGTAAGAAGAAGAAAAAAAGCTCTCCCGTCCCTTTTATTTTATTATTATTTTTTTTTTTTTACTTTTTCCATCTTTAATTCTGTTCTGGACGTTTTTAAATATTTATCCGTAAACACACGAGCGCCGCGCGCCTCGACTCGTAATGAGTTACTTCTTTTAAGCTCGATATTCGCGCCGGAGAGACAGAGACAGAGAGAGAGAGACATTCTTCACGCGGAAAACTCGGCTCGTGGCCCTTTATGCATTATATGTATATAAAACGAGTAATGAGGAGAAAATGTCCCTGTTTAATGGTGGTAATTACTTTCAAAATAGAGTGATTAAAGCTCTATTTAAGCTCCGCGGCGGCGCGCGAACCGAACTCAATGGGCGAAGTTAATCTTGGCCAAAGTTATTCAAACTTGCTCGGCTATATGGCTCTCTCTCTCTCTGAATCGGTTTCTTTCTAAAAAAAATTCCTAGCGTAGATTGTTTTTCGCAAAAAAATTTACGCCCCGTACCGATCGAGCTTTCGAAATTTAATCCGGGCACTACGCCGAATATCGTGTACCATTCGTTGTAATATACGAACTGAATCAACCCCGCGAACCGCATCGCTCGTAAACTTTGAACTAGTAGTGTTGCAAATTTACCCACGCCGCGCGCAGAGCGCATTGATACAACCCAGAGGCGCAGTTATCGTTTCGCGCCCACTCTGCTGCTGCTGCTGCTGCTCCATACACGATCATCTAATGCATACACGCGAAGCCAATCGCATTATCCCCGAAAGCTGCAATTGTGAATTCTCAGGCTCGAGCTTGCGGCGGCGGGCGCGAGAGTATATGTATGGTATCTGTTTTTGGAGTGTACTTTGGGTGCAAAATAATTTTGCCACGCGCGCGTCTCTTTTTAGAATCGCATACCGAACAAAGCGCGCGCGTCGGTTCGATTTAATCGAGTTCGAGAGTAAAGTTCGCGAGGAAACGTAAATAACGTATACACACAAGATATCTCGTGTACCGGTATATATATTCTATTTCAGGCATCGGATCTGTCTCGTGTACTCGAACGCTGCACATTTTATCGGAGCAAAGTTAAAATGTATATAAGTATAAAACTCTCGTCCGTGTATACGAGAATAGTTTTATTCTATATAGCCGAGAAACGAGTCATTTTTTATATACAATATATAATGCGCCCGCGAGAGACATGGCATTTTTTTTGCGAGACTTTTGGATCAACGCATCAGTCATTCCTAACAGTCGCCGGTATAAAAGCTTCGTTTCAACGTCAAGGTACGAGTCGCGCGCGCGCAAAAAAAAAAAAAATAAAAAGTAAAAATAATAATCCATAAAATAGCATCTTTACCTTGTAATATATATATTTTTTTTCGCGCGCAAAAGAGAGCTAGCTCGCGCCGGGCCTGTCAGTTTATATACATTTAGTATTACATACAATACACCCTCTAGACGCGCAACAATGCCTGGGCTGCTGCTTCAGCTTGCAGCTACTGGAAAGAGGTCAATAATTCATTGTATAGTCCTCGCGTGCCTTGAATTCATCACACACGCGGGGCGCTACGTATACATACACGTCAGAAAGTTTGCACGAGCTTTTTTTTGTGTGTTGTTGCATCGGACCTCCACGGGGCTCTCGTGTACGTTCTTATATACAAATGGCGCGCCATAGCTGCTGCCTCTTGCTCTATATATACACACACTCCATCGACTCGCGAGGCCATTCTTTGTTAAGGATTATCGGTCGGACAGCTCCGAGTGAGTTATCGGCCCCCCGCCGAAAGCTGCTGCTGCTGCTGCTGCTGCTGCATTGAAGAATTTCACTTGATGATTATGCGCGCACAGTACACCATACATCGAATGTATGCGTGCGTCGGCCAAGTGCATTTCGAGAGCTTTTTGTGCTCCGGGCTTGATTAAATTCGTTTATATGCAAGTGTATATACGTACGAGTATTTTCGCATGGCTTTTGTTGCCGGCTCTCCTCTCCTCTGCCTGCACAGCTGTGTGCTGCTGCTCTGCAAATCGTTGTTTATATATTTACAAAAAGGGTTCCAAAAAAAATAAATCAATCAACTCGACTCGCAGCGATATTGGATTCTGTTTAATACTTTATTACTTATCTTCTATAAAATATCATCTTTGATATGTGGATCGACAATTTTTATAAAATAACTCGGCTTATATATCTATATTGTATTTTCTTTTTTTCTCTCTCTCTCTCTCTCTTTATTTTGTTTCTGTTCTCGAAATCGAACAAGGTGTAAAGATCATCGATGAATTTTTTTTCCTAATTATCAAATTGCACAAAGTAATATTTCATATTTTTCTTTACAAACATCGAGTCACAATCATAATGTAGTTAATAGTAGGATAGAAAAATCCGGTTGCGATTATACACATTTACAGTTTATAACTCGCGGAATAGTGAAATAATTTTTTTTTTCTGTCCTTCATATACACATCGGTGAGATTTTCGAACTTTTGTACAGTGTTTTTTATAAAAATATGATTATAAAAAGAAACAGGAGAATCGCCGAACTCAAAATATTCTCAGTTCATAGGATCTATATTATATCATCGTAATCATATTCAACAATCGTGTTACATCATAGAAGAGCCTGCAATTGACCGTAAGTAATTCTAAATTTTCTCCCTCGCATCTTCCAAAAACCCAAAAAAAAGTCAACGAACGGTTTGTTCCCTCTTTTATCGATAATACAAAAAAAAAAATACAAAATGAACTCCAACGAATAAAAGTGCGTTAATCAATGATAAAAATCGTGTCCTCGTCATTGTCCTCGCGGATGGCAGGCAGCAGCAGCAGCGGCGGCTCTCCGTCGTCTCAGACGAATATGTAATGGGGCCTCGGCTGGCAGAGCTCGGCGCTGGAGCACTCGGGCCCGGTTTTCCTCGTGCGCAGCCACTTGCCGTGGCAGTGGGGAAAGCTCAGCATGCTCCAGCGCGTGATCATGGCCTCGGTGCCGCCGTCTCCCTCGCATCGCCAGTCCAGCTCGCGGCGCAGCGCCTGCGTCTGGCAGTGCACGCAGACCCGGGCACCTATATACGTGTACAAGGGCAGACGCGAGTATGAATAGTAATGTAGCGTATGTATCGATTATTATTATTATTATTATTGTTGTGTGTGTATGTGTGTGTGTGTGTGTGTTAATTAACAAAAATGTCTGGGTTAACGTATACAGCTTTTAAAAAGCTTTTAATTAGCGCAGCGCGGTAATGTCGCGCCCAAGGACTAATTTTCCAGTGAGTTAAATAAAACTATAAATTGCTAAATTGCTGTACGTAGTCGCGCGCGAATTGGCCGGGGGGGTGTGCGTTGTTCCATATTACAAGCTCCTCCTGGCAAATTGATTTTCACCCGCGCGAATATGCACGCGCGGCAGACACGCGGTGCGTACGTGTATATATAAATCGATCGAGCGTGAACAAACAAAATCAAACGAGAGAACGAAATGCACACACGCGCGCGAAACGGAGCTGCGCATTCTCACTTCTACTATGTGCAGCAGCAGCCTAGCTAATGGTCATTGTCTGTGGGGCCAGGCCACAACAATGTACAACGGCAGCGATGTTTCTATATATATAGGCCAGGGGTACTTCCTCTTAACAACGCGCAATGTATCGAAAGAGAGACAGAGTTTCCAATTAAAATTTTAGTTCTCGCGCGCGCGTACGTGTAACGTTTTGCAATTTTCTCCCGGGCCATGGGTATAATAGCCGCCGCTGCCGCTGTTGTCGAAAACGCGCGTGACGATGAGCGCGCGTCCGCGAGTGCATGAGAGCGTGGTTCGCAGCACCGAAGCTGTACACTGCAATTTTCTAGCAATTTTAACCCCGCGCGCGAGCGAGATATAGACAAAGAGAGCCGTATAAGAGTTTACGTATACACGCGCGATCGAGCTTTATATAGAATGTAATTTCGGGTTCGCAACACCGAGCGCTTATTTTGCTTTTTATAATAATTGTAGAATAGTGACTTTGTATTGTATAGCCCCGAAAACACGATTATCGTAGAATTGTCGAGTACGTACCCAAAACGAAATCATCGGATCCGAACAAAGATAATTTCCTTCTTTTTTTTATTTTTAATCAATTTTACTATCCAAACCTCGAGGATCAAGAGAAAAGCTCTCGAGTGACGGACGTTGATGAAAGATGCCTCTTTTTTTTATCATCTTCTTTATTATTTTCATCCCCGATGATGAGATAATAATTATATACGTCGCTCGTATGCACGCGCGCGCGCGCAAAAGCTCGGCAAAATTAATGCCGCTGCCGCTGCAAAGCACAGAACTGCAGAGCCCCCGATGAGAGACGGACGACGACGACGAGTCATGGCCGTGTATATACCGTTTTGTGTATTATATATGCCGCGTGGACAGAGCTTTTATATGCAATATTATTATATGCCCAGCTAGTAATAACGATAATAAAGTAGACGGGCCGACGACGGTCGAGAGATGATGATGCACGCGCGCCCGCGTCCAGCCCCCAGGATTTTCCCGTAATTTAGCGACATTTTGTCACAGGCCATATCCTTCGGTGGCAGCACCAGAAGCTAGTTTACTTTAACACAGGAAGAGAGAGAGAGAGATAATCGAGCAAAAAGTGTACACGTTGAATAAAGCTCGTTTCACTCGACGAGCTTGCGAGCTTGCGCTCGCAAAAGTCGTCTTCGTTGTCGTTGTCGTCGTGTAGCCGCATGTAAGCGCGTCGAGATTACTACAAGGGCTTTATGCACATTCTCTCGACCGATCGATTGTGCAAGTCGTAAATCTGTGGTCTACGTGTGTGTGTAAGTGTATGTATGTGTACGTGCGCAAATAGCTTACCTTCGATAAATTGCGAAAGACTCGGCTCCTTGTAACAGGCTTTGGAAGCTTTCGTCACGGTGAACGTCACGCAGTACCTGCCGACACACAAAAGAGAGAGGGTAAAATCGTTAAGCCACTACTACCGTGCTGCTGAACATCGATAATTCATTCGCTAGCCCCGATCGAGCTTTATTTGTATGTATATATGTAGAATGTATATTATATAGACGGGCAAGACGAGTTTGTTTCGTAAAACTGTCCCTGCGCCCGTGGTAGATCGCCGCAGATGAAACGGATATTTTGAATAATTAATTGGCAACGAGCAGCGTGGTCGCAGTTTTATCTGTACCTATATGTATATATGGCTGCGTGGATGGGATCGACCGTACACGCTCACAGGATGCGACACCCTTAATAAAGATTTTGGAGAATGAAGATATTTGGATTAGCTGATAACTAATTTACGTCATCAAAAGCTCTTACTTACTCATACAACTTTGCCATTTTACTTGTGATTTCCAAAAAAGTTTAGGTACGCGCCACCTAGCGACAATTCGGGTACCATTTTATGATGTATTCGATTTTTATAGGGCTCAAATTTTCATTCATCAAGATTTAAAAGTTTTTTTAATGACATAATTTGATAAATTGTTAAGTTTGGAGTAAAATGTTTTAAAAAATAATTTATTCACGTGACACTTTCTACGAAATATGTGACTTTGTAAAACACGATTTTAAATGGGACTCGACTGGGACCAATCGATCAATTCGATCTTATTAAATAATTTTGAATTACGTGATTTTCACTATACATCACTGTGCTCGGCTTTGCTAAATGTTTATAGCTTTTTTAACAACAGAAATTGTGAGTAAATTGTCTCAATATGTAAATTATTAAACTTGCACAGCTTGACCTGTATGAGAAACGTTCTGTAAGTCGCAATAAGTGTGATAATACGATCGTAGCTGCAGAAGTAGCACCAAAAAAAAAACCTCCCGGTAAGAAATCGATACCCGCGCGAATCCCTTTAAAGCTCACTCGAGATATCACGGCGAGCTTTTTTTTTCATAGAGTACAAAAAAGTTCAATTTCGATCCCGCGCGATCTCCTATATATATTACAAAAATATATAAGTTCACTCGACGTATCATCGCACGCGCGCGAGCGAGCGTCCGTCAAAAAATGAATAACCAGCTGCTCGCGCGTCTGCGGATATTCGCCTACAAATATATAGAACTTTACTCGATTTCGTCCACAACGCAGATCCTTTCTTCCGGTACACGCACGAAAAAAGAGATAAAAAAAGAAAAGGATTTATAGAAGAAAGAGAATCGGGTGTGAGAAAGAAGGGTACATATATCGTGCAGGACTCGAAGAGTCAAGAAGTAAACTTATTGAACGTCGAGCGAGGCAGGGCACGCATGTGTATAATATAGCGCAGTGAAAAATGCGTGCGTGCGCGATATATCACGCAGCGAGTCAACGCGGAATTTCAAAAGGATCGACGATACGTATATAGAGGTATCCCTGTAGATAGTATACGTAGACCTGCGTATACATCTTTTCTCTCGCTCTGACTATTTTTTTTACTCGTATGTATTTTCTTTGTATTTATTTCGCGTGAAAGGACGACTTCTTCTCCCCCATACCTTCCCAGACGCTCTCTATTCATTCTCCGATATCAAAACGTTCTCTTCGTCTTTCTCTCTCTCTCTCTCTCTCTCTCTCTATCGTATCTAACTCTCTCATCCCTTCCGCTATATTCGATACGCAACTATGTAATAATAAAATCGCACGAGCTTTCGAGGCTGCAGCTTCTTCCAAAAGGTAACCCCACTCGCATATTTACGAAACATAACACGATTTTAACGAGGGTCCCTCTATATAGGTACGCGAAATTACAATCTATCACATATTTGCAAGCACGACGCGCAATGTCACACGTCGTCATACGCTCTATAATTGAAGCTTGAGTAAATTTACACGCGGATCAATCGAAAAGCTCGCGCACGACACGCACACTGTAAACATACACATAATACACACGTATGACGTATGTATACAGCTGCAATCCGAAAGCGCGAAATTAAAGTTTTCGGCGAAACAATAGCCACACCGAATGTTATATATAAACAACACGTGGAATATCGCGCGAGAACGAATACGACAAAGCAGCTCGCCTATACACATTTGTAATTTACGAATTATATGTATATTGTATATAACGGCGAGGCAAACGCACTATCGAGTTTCCCTGCATATAGCGTGTAAGCCTGCGCGTACGTATATTTATCCTCCCATATCTACATCTATGTATGTATCTATCGCTGTGTGTACCACCACTAGCTCGTACAGGTATAAAGCGTAGCCCGGCGCAGGCCATTGTTGCACGTGCTTGCAGCTTAATATACACAGCAACAGCAGCAGTTCTGCTGCCTGCCCTGTGTTCTGTATGTTTGTGTGTCCACCTCTGCACCGGCGAGAGAGAGAGAGAGAGAGAGAGAGAGAGAGAGAGATCACGGGAGGAAGTGGAGAATGTGTGTCGCGGGCGCCGGTGCACGCATACCGCACACGTACACATAATCACATTGTTGGTCAGCCGGGTAGTAGCTGAGCAGCGCGCGTGACCCCCGAGAGCTTGCAATATTATAAGAGACAGAAGTCCCAAAGCGTACGTTTAATAATGTTGAATCGATAAGCAGCGATCCGATTCGATTCGAAAATTTCTTTGTAATTGCCTTCGAACGTCCGAATGTTTCGCTCGAAGTGAAATTTCTTTTCGGGTGTTTGAGACGTCGAAGAGTGGCTCGGCGCTCAATTTTCTATATCGGCTGCTTTACACCTGTACCTATGCGACGCGCCACCACTCGACCAACTCCGAAAACGTAAATAAAAAAAAAATTTAAAACAAAAAAAAACAGTATTCCTATGTGAGCTAACAAAAGTCCCGAAGAGATTGAGTTTGATATAAGTATAGTCGCGCGGTCGTAAAACGGATCTCAACGAAGTCACGCACCGAATTTTTGAATTATATATAGGTGAAATTAGCTCGGTTGCAACGCCGATGAAGCGTCGATTCTCTCTTTCTGTCTGTTTGCCTGTCTGTCTGTCTCTCTCTCACACACACGCGCGCGCGCGCACGCACACCCATTCATGCGAGTGTCCAGTAGACAGTCTCGCCGAGGAACGTCGAGCTGCTCTTGGATCACGGGGCCGATCTGTCGAGAGCTTCGTTTTTCCCACCGAGAGCGTCTTTATGCAACGAGAAGGAGTTTTAAATTGAGACTGGCGTCCAGCCTCGTGGCCTGCGTGGAGATCGTCGAGAAGGAAGGATCGTACGAGCTGGACCAGAGCGACGCCCTGACGATCGCGAAACAGTTCGCCAAGCACGAGGTGTTCGACAAGTCGAGGGGTCTTCGATCGGTTTGGTACACGACGGCGACGAGTTCGCGGCTCGATCGAAGAGATGCATCGTCAGGGCGCGCGGCCGAGTCTGTCGCTCCACGATCTGTTGGCAGTTACGACCCGAGGAGGCGGCCAAAGCGGGGTCACGTACGCGGACTACCTCGCGCTAGCTCGACGACAGGATTGTTTCGAATTGATCGCTACGTCCGTGATGCCAGCGACGCCGCTTGCGTCTGGCATCTGCGTGCGAGCTACTGTCGAGAGGATTTTTCCGGTCCTGGGCGCTGCATCATTTCTGGCGACTGATTCGGCTATAGATTGCCGCTGGAGTGCTGCGAGATGGTCCTCGAGCACCTGGAGAACCAAGATCTGTATGCAACATTTGCTTGGCCGAGGCGGCTGAGGGCCTGGAGCAAAGCTCGTGTTAGGCCCTAATTTCGATCAAATTTAAATCAATTTTTTATGTAGGATTGAAACTTGATATCTGATATTGAATAATGTATTTCTGTTGAAGATGTTCGATTCATTCAGCCAATTATTAAAAAAAATGTTCTTACGTACAATTAAGTTGTTAATATTAATTATTGATCGAATATAGGGACATATACCTTAGTTAAATTTTGAAAATTTCTATCGAAATAAATAAATTTGAAAAAAAGTTAAATTGTTTCATTTCCGTAACATTAATTTTTGCAGCTGTTCTTATGCTGCAGCTCATTAATTTTATTCAAGTTTTGTCATTGTTAATGATCAGTACAATATACGAAGGGAATTCGCGACGACTTGGCATAAAAACGGTCTCGCTCGAGCTTATTTGTCTACTCTCATCGAAGAACGATTTTCAAATCCAGATCAATCAACGTGCATTTGAATAAATTTATCGGCTGATCGATGCCGTTTCTTTCTCTCCCTCTATATCGTCCATCAGCGACTCGCTCGATGGATGCGGAAAATCGAAAGGCACGAGACGCGCGAGACGAGCCGGATCCTAAACGCGCCTCGGATCCTCCTTCCCAATGAGAAAAGTCTCATCAGACGCGGAGGGGTTGGGCCATTTGAATATAGACGAGTGCGTCGGTGTGTGTGTGTTGCGTGCATGCCATTGGTTTACATAAAACCGCCTTGGCTATTGTATATACACTGCTGAATTTGCGGAAAAATTCATTCGACGAGCGATATAAAAACGAATGGATTTTTCGACTCCGCGCGCGTGTATGCGTCGACCGGCGAAAAAAAAAGAGAGAGGAGGACCTTTTCGCCGACACGCATATACATACGAGGGTATATATAGCATCGGACGTACGTGGAATACGATGAATGTAGAAGTACCTCTTTATCGGTTGAATTTCAGCGTCTCTCTTTTTATGCATACGTATGTGTGTGTGTGTGTGTGTGGGTATACAAGAGCCGAAGTGGCTATACCCTCAAGGGAGTTGGTAACGCAAAAAAAGAGAGAAGTTGAATAGACTAAAAGAAGAATGGAAGATTGGAGACCTGGAAAAAAGAGAGGGAGAGAGAAAGGCGAGCCGCTGATAAGAGCTTGCCCGAATATCTAACGGCCCGATGGAATTAGCATTATACTTTAGAGCTGTTTGACTGGAATATATATTGGTGGACGCTTGCTTTTTTCCTATAAACTTAAATCCCGCACAATTATATATTACAACATCTCGGTATTTTTTATTCTATTTTTCATTTTTTTTAATTCATTAAGCGTCGAACGCATTAGGCGAAATTATTCCGTTGGCATATATTATGCACGCAAAAGTCTTATATATAGCTGAAAAAGCGACTTGTCTCTCTCTCTTTCTCAGCTTATAAGCCGAAAAATAAAAGAGTCGAAGAAAAAAGAAACGTCTTGCACAAATTGAATTAAAAACGCTCGCGGAGTAGGAGAGAGGGAAATGTAATATTCGTAAAAGCTCGACAGAAGCAGAAGCAGCAAGCATGAGTAGCGCAGCTACTTGGCTAGCACGTGTGTATGTAAAATACATATACGTATTCAGAGCGTCGAGACACTTTTTTCTCACATATATATACTTGCACCGATACCTTTTTCATTACAAGAAAAAAAGTGAGAATCTTCATTAAAAAGTTACCGTTCGATCGTCGTTATGGTTTCTCTCGATCCAGCAGTGGGGATAAAAAAAAAATACGAGAGAACGACAAAAAATGTTTCCGCCCGGGATCGAACCGGGGACCTTCCGCGTGTTAGGCGGATGTGATAACCACTACACCACGGAAACGCGGTTGAGAGGTGGGCCTTGCCGACACCATTTGTACCCAGACACACGCGCGCGAGATATGTGCGGCAGAAAAATATTTATTCCCAAATGGACGAGTCGCTTCGTCTCTCGAATTAACGAAATCCGATTGAAAAGTGTCAAAAAAAAACAACGCCTCGGGTTTAGCCGCTCTTATATACATTACGACCGATGTGCTTTTATAAACTGACTTATCCAGAGGCTAGTTGGGCGCACACACAGTCGAGTTCATTCGTAATGGAGTAACGTTGACAGACGCGCCGAGTGAATTACACAATCCTACATATAGTCGGCGCACAGCTGCCAGCGTCACAATACTCTATATACGGTGTATATAAACTATATATAAAGCACGTTGGCATCGGTACGCGGTACGGTATATAGTAGCGAAGTACGCAGAAGTTGCGAGCTTTCGCATGCGGCGCGGCGCAATGCCGTGTAGTGGCGGCTTTAATACACACATAGCTAGCGGATCGTGGCTGGCCGCCCCCGCTTGTATGCCAGCGGCAGCAGCTCGCACGAAGTTCTCAAACGGGATTTGCGCGGCGCGCGTTACAGCAGCAGCTCCCAACGTGAGTAAATGAAGCTTGAGTCTTATTAATGGGAAGAGGGATGAAGGGGGAGGGGGGGGGAGGGCTGATTTATCAGGAGCTGTATGGCAGGCAGCTAGCAGCTAGCAGCTCTCTCCGAGAAACTCTTAGCAATGGGCTCGATTATTAATTGGATGGGCCGAGTGTATATATATACGGGACGACGCGACGTGTCTGCAGAGCAGCGAAGGCTGCAGTGTGGCTGACAACGAGATATGTGTATAGAGACTTGGAGAGAGAGAAATGACTTATTGTATTATGTATCGACGAGTCAGAGGCGTCTCTATTATCTATATATGCAATCTTGTCAAGATGACGGGCGTGAAATGTTTCATCAAAATTTATATAATTGTATAAGGAGATCACGGAGATACGGTCTACGTATAGAAAATGAGTACGATTGAGCGAGAGAACCTTATACAGTCAAAGTATCAGTGAAAATACAATAATAATGTAATCTTCCGAGCCAGTGTAATGATCGTGATTGTCAAGACGAATCTTTCGATCGTGCGTTAAGCTTGCGTCGGATGGCACAAAAAGCTTTTATCTCTTTACGAGGAAAATAATGATTTACTGTCTGATACTTTCTGTACTACATTGATCCTTTCATACGATAATCGGATGGTCAAAAGAAACTTATACTTTCGGTACACGAATTTTTGCATATATACCGATCGGAAATTCTTTTACCAATTGCGGATTTGCAATACTCCATCTGGTGATGGAATCAAAAAGTTCGTAATCGAAGTACGCCACCGTTCGTATTTTATATTATTAATAATTTAATATTAATTCGGGCTAATTTCATATTTTTGCACCTCAATTATATTTAACGACAAAAAAAATACATGCGGAAATTTGTTGGTAATTCAATGTAGTTTTCAAATATATAAACCAAATTGTCCTACGAGGTCTTGTTCAAAATCTCGTTTTCGAGCCTATCACAGAGCCTCCTCTGAGAGGAAGCAAAAAGAAAATCGAGTTATAAAAATTATTTGTAGACTTCCCAAAGCCGCTGGACATTGGAATATAGCTAGCTCGTGCGTCTGCTCAGGTTGTACCGTCTTACACCTTAACACCTTAAAAATAGGATCGATCTCGAAGCCCGATAACTCGAAATAAGCAAACGATGTACCGAACACTTATACGGCCGGCAACTTTTCCACGCGTAACTTAGCTTCGTATAAAATACCCGCACTGTCATTGTGTATATCGCTTCGCTCACGCACAGACGCATTTCCGCGTATACGCCGACGCACGACGATGTAACGTACGCGTGCATAAATATATATAAACGCAAAGTCGCTGGCGTATTGTATACATATATAGAGATACGACGAGAAGCTTGCAGCGCACATTCGAACTCTATATATATATATATAAGCGCGTGTCGTCGCGATGCAGTATTAAAGTGCATATACATATATACGTATATAATGTATACACAAGCTCGTGCAAAGGATCTGCGCTCTGTCTCTCAAAACATTTCTCTTACTCTCTCTCTCTCTCTCTCTCTCCCTCTCCTTCGCTATACATATATTCTGTGGCGCACTCCGCAAGACTCTTGTCTCTTTGCGCGCATTATATTATATAGAGAAGAGGATGAACGACGACGACGACGACGAGAAGCAAGAGAAATTAATTATGACAAGCCGAAACCGCAGCTGCTAATGCTCATTACTAATACCGCCCGCTTTGAGCTGCATGCGCTGCAGCAGCAGCAGCACACGACGACCCGCGGCACATGCGACTAAACTCGCGCGGGTATATTTCGGTGGTACGTAACATAATGATAATGCGAAAATAATAACAACAACAATGATGATAAACGCGCATATACGTATATCGCCCGAGTTTAATTTGACGGATTCAGGCGCGCGACAATTAATTTAGACGCCGCTCACGCACACACGGATTATAAGGACTGAGAGTCAGCTTCTCAAAGTAGATGTAAGATTTATCGCCCTATGTATGCGTCGTGAGAGAATCGCTGCGCACGCGAGTATTTTCGAGTACCGAATCTCGTATATATATAAAGCTCGAGCGCGACTTTTACCCGCGCTTTTCATCGCGCGATATCTATTCTACTACTTGTATAATATTAAAACGTAATCGTATACCCAAAGTGCTGATGCGAATTTCATCGTGTATATCATTGTGCGCGCGTTTGTGCTGCCGAGATTTTGGTTATCCGAGACGATTTCGTAATTGTATACGCCAGAGACGGAGAGAGAGAGAGAGAGACGAAAAATTCGATAAATAAATTAGACGAGTTTTCGGAATGTCGTAGGCGCTTATCTTACGAGCGATTCACTAGAACGCACGTAATTTGCACTCGATTTTTTTTTCGCACCGTATATAAACTACAAAGCTCGTGATGTACAAACGTACTCAATTTTCGTCGGCGTGTTTTTAAGTTATATATACTCGTTTCGCTCATTGGATTACGAGAGGTAAAACGTATCAGCGAGTATACACGATGTACTTATAATTTCGACTTTTTAAAAAGTCCAAAAAAGGAAGTTATGTACTGCCGTTTATTCCGTTTGATGTTTTGCACGAGGGAGAGAGACACGAGGCACTGACTAAAGGCAGCGTCATCGGTATAATATGCTGCAAGCTCGTATAATATACAGGTACGTACACACGCACACACATACCAACAGAAATTTTAATGCAGAGAAAATTCCGAGAGGGAGAGAGCCTTTCGCGATATGTATACGGAATATTTCAATAACGTGATTTTCCCGGCGTGTTTATACACGCGCCGGGTATAAACGCGCACGAGAAACGCAAATAAAATTCATGCTCTTATAAGTACACGTGTGTGTTTGGGTACGCGAATAAACGATAATGAGTGAACTCGAGGCACTCGCGATGCGCTATGCTGACGTCGTGCGCCTGCAAAAGCGTCAGCGAGCGTATGCACGGTGATATTACATGATGTTCGTGTGTATATACGCGCATTATATGTGTACATACGAAATAAAAAACAAAAAAAAAACAAAAAAAGGAATGAAAGAAGGAAAAAGAGTACGTGTACGTGTATGCGAAGGGCAAGATGAAAGGTCAGAGACTCGAGCGGTCGACGAGCTCTAAAAGGTATTTACGTATATAAAAAGCCTGGACCGATGCCAGATCTGCGTAAAGATGTACAGATGTATTTACGGTGTGTAGTGGCAGCGGTAAAGAGAGGAAACGAAGGATCGAAATGTTCATATACGTCATACGGTAGTGTGCATATGGAGCTTGCAGCGAACGTCGAGACTCGAGCGTGTAATCTTCTACATAGGCCGTGAGCGATAATGTCGCGGACGAAAACTCACATTATCTGCAATATTGCAAATTGAAAAGCCCACTTAGGTCTTCGAGTTATACGATTGTTTTCACTTTGCTACTTGCAGATTTACGAATCAAGGTACTCGTCATCTAGCGGTGGAGACTAGAAGTAATATCATCCTTCATTTAAAGTCGTCGAAAACCGGTCAAAATTTTTGGAAATTGAAATTATTGTCGAAAATGAGCATTTCTATCATAGGATTATCAATAGGATTAAAATAATAATATGGATTTCTAAATTGGAGCTAATTAAGGATAATTTATATAATTATCTACTCACTCTCTGGTCAGATCGTGCTCCGGATCCTCGACGTAGCGATAGCGCAGATTCGTCCTGATGTCGTTGCTGTCGTTGGCGTGCCGCACGTCGCTCAGCTCGGCCGGCAGCAGTAGCGCCACTTCTGCGCACATAAAGAAAGAGAGAGAACAAAAAAAATTAATCGTGCAATTATCGCGTTGTATACTCTGGTAGATATATCGATTTACATATTGCGTTTCTCAGGGTATCGATACAGGCAACACACCTATTCTCTAAATCACAAGTGATCAATCCATCGATGAATGTATATATAGCTACGATTCCGTACGGTATAGCCGCCGCGTGCGTAATCCACCGAGCCGTGTGCTTATACGGCCTATTATATACCCGTGTAGACGACGAGGATAGTAATATTGCACAGCACGCACAGAGGCAAGCCCGGAGAGAGGAATCGTCGAGATTATACTCGGGGCCGAGAAGGGCCACTAGACGCGTCGATGATCCCTCCCCCGCGTGAATTATGCACGCGCGAATTCGTGCCAAGATTGTTACACACGATATATCAGACGTATTATACCTGCGCACGTATGGGGTAACGTACGATATTGCCAAAACGCTTTGATGAGCGCGACGATGAAAAATCGAGCTCGTCTCAACGTTATTAAGAAACATAAGCTACATCCCTCGTACAAGTAAACGAGCGCGAGAAATTGTGCCGTTAAAAATTTAATCAACGTTGTGTAAGAGACGAGCAAGTTCGGGTGCGAACTCGTTACGTATTATATATATTATATCGTACGCGGTGTATGTGTATGTACGTTACCTTTGAGGGCCGACTTGGGATTGCGCCTGTGGCACTTGACGCCTTGGCAGCCGCGTCGCTGGGCCAGCTGGGGGCAGTGCTTGCCGCCGTTCTCGGGGCCGCGCTCGACCAGGCGCGTCCTCGTCTGGGCGCCGGGGCCGCACTCGCTGTCGCAGTCCGACCAGGGGCCCCAGGCCGACACCACGCAGTCCAGTACTGAAAACGAGATATAACAGATGCGGAGTTGAGAAGATGTTCGTCGTCGTTGAATTCGTTCTCGTGTTCGAGCTTCAATTTTTTAATCGATTGATTGATTCGTTGGAATTTTAATTTTTTTGGGGATGAATGTATGAACGAATTTATTAAGATGAAGGGACTTATTTTTCTATTAAAACGATCTTGATATTTTTTACAATCAAATTATTTCCACGCTCTTGCCCTCATCTGACTTATACATATTGTATACGAAAGTTTCGTTGAAGTTTGCATTTTCGCATTGAGACGTAAGAATACCTGTAATTTCGTGAGGGAACGGGGAGCGGGGTAAGTAGGGATACTGGCTTTGCTGTTACTCTTCTCTGCCGTCAAATCAATGAATCACTTTGGAATCAGTTTTTAAGTAATAAACGTAACAACAATTTAATAATAACAACGTAACTTCACTCATGAACAACTTAATACAATTTTAACTCGAAAGTCGATGCTAACAGATCAAGGAATTACCTTGATCGCCTGCTCTGAGCGAGTATACTTTTTGAACTATAAATTGGCGATCTAGCGACCTGTCGTGGTACTTTGAAAAAATCGCCTCCGAAGTAACAAAGATCATCTGGGCTGGTATATCGCTTTTGCGAATTTTGAGTGAAAAGGACGTGTTCGTCTGCGTTGAATTGGTTCTCGTAATCGGAACTTCGATTCTCAATCTAATTGTTGATTTGTTGGAATTTTACTTTTTTGGGTAAAAAATTGACAAACGAATTAATTAAGATGAAAGGACTTATTTTTATTAAGTGTAACTTCTTTAGCTGCGTTAAGCCTCGATAATTGTATTATTAATTATTAATTATTAATCTCGAAAATTAAGATAAAGCCATCTAGCGACCTGCGTGAAACTTTGAAAAAATCGGCTCTGAAGTAACAAAGATCCATCTCGCGCTGATATCATTTTTGCGGTTCGGATGATGATTAATAGCCAACAGCTCGTTCATGAGTCATTATATTATGATCTCGAGATATTTGTAGAAAATCCGGAATATTGTACAAATGACCAATCGAAGCAATTAAGTTAAGTAAAAAAATCCTTAACGTATACTAACGTCATGTAAATTTTTTTTTCTCGCATATCGAGTCAGAAACAAAAACAAGGACCAGCAGACGAGGGATTTTCCGCAACGATTATTTTCGTAATATGTAAGCCGATCGTCGCGAACGAAACGATACACCATACACGCGACTCTCGGCTCGCGCGCGTTAAATGCCGCCAATACGATCGTACACGATGCGCAGGATTTTCAAGAAGATTCGACGAAAAAAATAAAGGATTATTACCCGACGTACGGCCGGGGGAAAGGGGCGCTGGGGGTGTTATTAGAAAAAACGACCGACAACGAGGTCTTCGGATCTTTTCGCTCGTGTACAACAACAGCACACAGCGAAAGCAAAAGCTGCAAACAACGAACGGCCAATGGGATCGCCCCTCTGCAGAAGAGAGTTATAAGAGATTAGCCTTCTTTATATATAACGATACAGCGACGTTTGCTTTGTTTCGTCCTTTCTTTTTTCTCGTTGTTGTTGTCGTGCGACTTTTTTCATCGTCGGCCAACAACGACCGATCGCGGACGATCAGCTTTTACGACGACGCAATAGTAGCAGCAGTAGTAGTAGTGGACCTTTTTTTTACCGATACGATTGCAGCAGCGGAGTATTGGAAAAAGCACGCAACAACGACTCGAGAGACTCGAGCGCCGGGCCGCACCGATCTTTTAAGCATGTTTGTCGGGCCTTCGAACACGTCGCTCGTTCCCTTTATTCGCGCGTTATATTTCGCGCGTTTGCTTCTAGCAACACTGTCGGATCGTTTATGCGTTATACGTGCGATTTTTTATTACGTTATGTAAGCCGGGGGTCAGCTCGCGATGAATTCTTCATCTTCCTCTCGCTCTCCATATCTATCCTTTTTTCATTGAAATTCCCAGTCGATTGTGAAATATCTAATGGAAAAATTGCAATCGATATTCAGCTATGGCCTATCACGCCTTATGAAGACAAGTATGAATATTCAAAGAGAGAAAGGAAGGGAAAAAAGCTCCGATTTAGATGCATAGACAACTGGCGCAGAGTCTCTCTCTCTCTAATGCTCGCAATTTTTCAAAATGAAAACTTTCTTGGCACTGACGACCTCCAATCTGTTTTTTTTTTTCATACGTATTCTCTCGTCACCTCCTCCAAACGTCCAATTCTCAGAGGCAAGGAGGATGGCATAATATACGATATACATAATAATAACGGGACGAACGAGGCCGAGACGCGTAAATTTTTAAAAAAGAAACTGGATTTTTATCCCTCTATATACTATATCTCGAGACGAGAGACTTTTCACTGCCAAGGCTTCTTTTTCACACATATTACACTCATACACGAAGGCGGGCGGGCAATAAGAGTAGTCGTTTCGTACCTCGCGCCCACAGGTGCAAATTACCTTTAGCCCGCGCGCGAGAGAGAGAGAGAGAGAGATTTAGCTTTAACGCGTATGCGTCCTTTTTTTACGACACGCACGCTCAGCGCGACCAAAACTTTATTACGTATAAGAAATATTATTTAATGTGAGAAAGAGAGAGAAAGAGAACTCGAAAAATTATCCGCGTGTAAAGTTCACGCCTCGGTCGTAACCTCTTATACCAGGTAAAATATTCAGAGGATGCGAGGGGATTGGCGTCCACACATTCATACAGCATATATATAGTAGCGAAGAAAAAGTTTATATCACTCGGCGCGCGAGTAATGCCGCTGAAACACGGCACAGTTTTACACACTCGCACATGTGTACTCGTATAGGCGAGTTAGAGACTGCGAAAAACTCGATTAAATGCACAGGAGACGAACGGACGGACGGACGGAGTTGGCGAGAGAGCTTGATTAGCTGTGGCCCGAGTGCAAAGTTCGGAAAGGGCTCCCCCCCCCTTTTTTGGATCGATGTTGCGCGCGTCGAGTGCATTAAAAAATTATACAAATTTGGGGATGCGACGTTCGGACGATTTTGTTCGTTAAAAGTAATATACACCTCGACGCCTTGAACACAACCTGCAATCGCGCGAAGCGAGACGAAAACAAAAACAGTCCGCGTTGTTATCTCCCGTGTGCGCGTATATTGTAATAATAATAGTACAAAACCTCTCTCGCCAACCTTCAAAATTGTATCGTCGCGAAAAGCGTCTTGACCCTATATTACGCCCCGGCACAATGTAAAAATCTCGCCGTAATCGAAGTTGAAAAAAGAAGCAAAAAAAAATTATCTACGCGCCGATTATCCGTAACGTAAAAAAATACACTCGTACATACACACACACACACAGGTGGGAGGAGAGGTGAGATATAATTTCAGTCGATCGAGCAACATGCCACCGAGAGAAACGCCCAATCAATCCGGACAAAAGTCCGGCAGCAACTGCTCCAAAGGTAACGCACAGCAACGAGGCATTAAATTCTTCTCTCTCTCTCTCTATCTCTCTCCGTACCTTCGCGATCGTATATCATTATCATTATTCATTTTATTTTCTTTTTTATCTTTCTCACCTTTGTAACCCCCTCATCTCTCTCATCTCGCTCTCTTACCATTTTTCTCTTTCTCTTTCTCTCTCTCTCTCTCTCGGTGCTACGTAAACACAAATTGCTTCGAGCGCGAGATTTGCGTCTCGCATGCAGTAAGAGACGACGACGACGACGACGACAACACCGCGCGCTTTATGTCTCACACAACTTTTATACGGGGCACACGAGAAAGAAAGAAGCGCATAAGCGTACACGCGCCACGGAATTCTTTATACCTTCTCTCGTCGTCGCCTCTCTTTCGCGGATTTGCAATTTTAATTTGCCTCTTCTTCTTTCAAGTTTCACGCTTTTGTCTTATTTATCCTCTCGCGTAAAAAGCTCGCTTTATCTCTTTTTTTTTCTCTCTCACTACCGTTGAATTATTAAATTCATTTTAGTGGGCAAGCGTTACGTTCTGTCGGCTCGGGCCCAGGCCGCCCTGACCCTCATACTCGAGGACATAATCGAGAAGACGCTGGAGGACGCGCGCCGACTGGCCGAGTCCGCGGGCAAGTCCAGGGTCGAGCTGGCCGAGATCGAGCAGGCGCTGCGCCGGCTCTGCGAGCACTACCACACGCGCTGGGCCAGCGAGTCGTCGATCGGCCTGGGCGAGAGGGCAGCCAAGGCAGCTTCGTCGGGTGGAGAATCGTCCGCGTCCACGTCGTCGTCCAGCAAGGCCAAGAGCAAAAAATAATGATGATAAAAGCGATGGTGGTGGTGGTGGTGGTGTGTCGTCGCTACGGGAAGGCTCCGATTAAATTACGATGAAAAAAAAAAGATCAACGTTTCTTTTTCTCCATTTCGAGCGTAATAATACGATTTTCAAACTCGTGCGCGAGAGTTTTAATCCTCTATCCGATGGCGAAGTTTACATTATATAAAGTACACGTAGTGGTATAGCAGCAGTAGCTCCGAAAACCCAGAAGGCCAATGAAAGGACTGCGTATTAAGCTGCGCGCGCGAGTCTACTGACTATACCATATATAATCTGCAAACTGGCTGTATCTCGAGAAAAAAAAGGGCAGAGGATACACTTTCGGGCGAAACGACGTTGAAAGTAGCTCGGGAAAAGAAATGAAAAAAAAATAAATAGAAGAGGAGCCTCGTGTGTGTGTGCGAGCGAGCAAATGCACTCCGCCCGACTACATATAGAGCGAGAGAGACGTCCAGCCGTAGACGAAGTTTCGCGCGGAAGTATATAGCGCACCACGTATCGCACGTATGTGTGCGTATACACGGGTAGAGAGAGAGAGACGGATATCCGCTTTTTAGACTTTCTCTCTAAGCGACTCGACGTGTGTTAGTTTGCGCGCTCGCACACACGTATGTGTATTAAGTATATATAGAAGCGTATAAACTTGTTACGATTATTGGATCGATTACATTATCGACTTTGAATGGGGAATCGT